TGGTAAATAAAATTAGGCAGATCAACAAAGAAAACCGAGCCAAGAGAAGAGCCACGCCACCTAAAATGAAGTCTAATTTTATACCTAGACTAAAACCAAATGCCCGAGAACATTGAACTTGTGTAGAATTAATAATGTTTAGGAGCTATCCGGTACTTGGATATGTAGAATGGTACATGGACTATCTAGACATTAATCACGGCAAAAATTAAGGTAGTAGACGACTTTGGAGATAAGGAAGGCTTTTCATCAGTTGAAAGTTCTACAGAGACAAACACAAACAAAAATGTGTATGTACATAGCTTATATGTCAATAATATATGCATGACACGTTACCACATAAATAGATCAATAAAAATTAGACGTTTTGATTTAGACGCCTTGTTTTTTAATTTCTTATATGAAACTTTTATTCTTTTTTAAGAATTTAACTAAATATTTTTCCTACAATTTTTGTGATTAATCTCATTCTATTTTATTAGAAGTTTAAAAACGATATTATCTACTAAGGGGGAGGGGGAAGAGTTTAGTCTCACAAGAGGCTAACAATAATACGGTTCAAATTCGCGTTGGGCGAGAATCGAACTTAAGACCTCTCACTTTTAAGTGAAGAGGAATACCACTAAACCGTAGTACTAAGTGGCAGGATTGAATTATTACTTAAGTATTGATTAACGTATTTCATATTAGTGACAAATAATTTGGTTTACAAACTTAGTTTAAAATTTTGGCCTCCTATGATTATCCTAAAAGATTTTGCAAAAGGTCAACACTTATTTTAATTGGTTTTCGAAACTCTGTAAAAACCATTACAAATCCATTTTCGAGGAAATTTCATTGCACCACGAGCTACCTTAAATTTATTTGGGCACTCTAGAGATGTTATTGACGACGAATCTCCATTCTAAGTTTCTAACTATGTTCTGACCCAATTAGTAATATTTTAAATTCGTTTAAATTAAAACCTATTGCCGCACCATAAGCTTGCTAAACTTCATGTTCAACTTTCCGGAGATATTGTTAGTTTTGTATAATGTTCTTTGGGTCTTGAATTTGATAAGGCCCAAAACTAAAATGAATAGACCGAATTAAAATGAAACTGAGTATTGTGATTTGGTTCAATTTTCTTTTAAATTTTTTATTTTTAGAACCGTGCTCTGTGTGAGGATGTGAAGATAAAAGAGAATATGATGAATAGTCCAATTACTTATAAGCATATGCAAGGTCCCTTCTTTCTTTGATGTGAATACTCTCAACATGCATCTTCAAGTGTGGTGAAATTTTAATCTTAATATGTGGACAATACAAATCAAGTAACGTAAAGCACGTGTGACAGTTGGGATCCACACATTAAACAACATGCTCTGATGTCATAAAGAAAGTTGAGCTTCTATCATAAAATTATTGGCAATATGAGAAGTGGCATAATCTCTTATAAACACTTGAATGCTTTTCTTTTCTTCAATGTAAGACTTTTTAATCTGGACGCGTATGTTTTCTATCTGGCCAGGATTTTGGGGGTCAAAAATCTTATCATGAGATGTGTGCTATTTATATTTTCCAGTCCAATTTTCTCTTCTTCTTCATCCACTGGCCACATTTTTTGACCAGATGACACACAAAAGTGCCCATATATGGACACCACCTTTATATAAAACTCTCTGTCTCTCTCTCTCTCTTATATATATGAGCAAACGCAAAGCAGATTAACCAGAAAAACAAAGGGATAAGTCTTTCTTGACTTTTGGCCTTGACTACGTACATTTGGTATGGAAAAACAAGAATCCGCACTACTAGCTTTAATTCTAGACAGTCATATTCCACAAAAGCAGTCAGGCTCTTCCAACACTACCGTAATTTAACATTAACCATACATTCCCACTATAAATTAATTAGCACTTAGCTAATATTGCAGACCAAAGAAGATACACCTAGACAGGGGGGGACATAAACCTAACCCCTCATAGAACAAGAGAAAAGAAATACAAAAAAGGGGGGGACATGCACCTTACCCCTTTTGAGAAAGGAAATACAAAAGAGGGGGGGACATAGACCGTACCCCTCTTGAAAAAGAAAATACAAGGAAAAGACTGGGCGGACATAAGCCCAAACCCCTCTATAAACCTAAAAGGTAAAACCTGCAAGACAAGCTGCAAAACAAAAGGGAAACAAAAAAGGTTAGGAAAAGAAAGGAGAACACACATCAAGAAGATGAGACAAACCTGTAGGTTGGCATGCCCATGAAATCTGAGTGCAGAGGAGGAAGGATCTCTATAGGGGGAGTGGAATGCCAAACAAGTGAAGATGATAGAAGCCCTAAATTGGCTAATTTGTCAGCAACAACATTCCCTTCTCGAAAAATATGAGAGCAACGAAAAACCATGTTCTGCAAATGTAGAGTACAATTGTTCCAGCGTGTCTGGAGAGACCAAGGGGGAGAGAAAGATCCAGAAGCAAAACATGATATTACACTAGAAGAGTCGCTTTCAAGCCATAAATTATGCCAGCCCCGCGCGTGGGCCAATTCGATAGCAAGGATGCATGGAGCTCCGCATAGAAAGAAGTACGATGGCCCAAGCTTAGGGAGAAACCACCAAGAAAATAACCTGCAGAGTCACGAAAAACCCCGCCACATGCCGCAGGACCCGGATTACCTTTAGCAAGGCCATCAGTATTCACTTTAACCCAAGAAAAAGGAGGGGGGAGCCAAAGAACAGGGACAATAGAAGGAGCTTTACAGGAGTTAGGCGATATTCCAAGAGAAACTAAAAGTTGCCTATCCAAAATGCCTCGTACATGGCCAGGGGTGAGAGCTCCAACCTGCCTAATCCAGGCCGAGGTGGAGCGGCAGAGACGTGAGAGGGAGGGAGGTTTGCCTTCAAACTTCACTTTATTACGCATCTTCCAAATAGCCATTAGTAAGAAAAACCCTGAAGCTATCCAGACATTGCGAAGATGTGGGGAAAACCGCTTTGACAGAAAAACAAGCCATAGATCAGAGAGGGAGCCCGTAGGTGGTATAATAGTGCCAAATTGGGTAGCTAGCCAACGCCAAGCACATTGTGCAAATTCACAGCTAGAAAATAAGTGGTCAATAGATTCAGAATTCTTGTGACATAGTTGGCATATTGGAGCTAGCGGGATGCCTCGGCGCTGAAGTTGATCCTCCGTTGGGAGCTTGTTGAAAAGAATCTTCCAAACTAAAATAGAGTAACGAGGTGGGATGAAAGGACGCCAGATAATGGAAGCCCAACTCTTAACAGGAAACCGATGACGAACAGTTTCATAGCCATCGGAGAACGAAAAAACACCAGAGGTAGAGACTTCCCAAATTAAGACGTCCTTATCCTCATCAATTGGAAGAGGCATTTCTAAAATCTCTTTAGTTAGGTCTGGGAAAGTAGAAGAAAAAATAGAAGGAATAACCCATTTTCCCATACGAATAATATTTGAGACCTTAGTACGAGATAAAGAAGGAGCAATCTCTGTTGCACCAACGACGTCCACAATAGGCTTATCCAGCCATTTATCAACCCAAAGGGAAGTAGTAGAACCATTTCCAATCACCCAACGACAATTCTGAAACAAGATATGAAGAATGGATTTAATACCAGGCCATATAGAAGATCGCTTATAACTACAAGAATATAGGCGACCATGTAGCTTGAAACGTTCCCGAAGATAAATACTCAAAGGGGAATCAGTAGTAATAATAAGCCATCCAAGCTTTAAGAGAGCAGTAGTGTTAAGAGAGCCAAGATCACGCAACCCCAAACCACCTTCATTCTTTGGAGCACATATCTGACGCCAAGAAACGGTAACAGACTTCTTGGAGGTTACGTCACCAGACCATATAAAATTGCGAGCACATCTTGAAAGAGGCCTTAGCAAGGAAGAAGGCCACTTATAAACAGAAAAGCTATGCAAGAGCATACTTTGAAAAACTGATTGAGTGAGTTGAACTCTTCCTGCCATAGATAAAAGCTTCCCCTTCCAACCAGTTAACTTAGCTTTAGCTTTATCTGCCAAGGCTTGAAGATAACTCCTTTTAGGCTTGCCACAGAAGATTGGAACTCCTAAGTAGACAAAAGGTGATTTGCCTTCTTTGAAACCCAAGTAGCTCTCAACCACAGCTTTGCGATGCCTTGAGGTAGAGCCCAAGTAGAAAGTACTTTTTGCCTTATTGATAAATTGACCTGAGGCTCTACTATATCTATCGAAGAAACCTTGCAAATTACGCATAGTGACACCATCACTTCTACAGAAAATGAATAAGTCATCTGCATAGAGAACGTGAGAAGGAGAGATACAACCTCTTGGAGCAAAAGTTGGCTTAGTAAGCCCATCAAGTTGAAGACGACTCAGGCCCCTTGATAACGCCTCCTCAGCTAGACAGAAAAGTAACGGAGAGAGAGGATCCCCTTGGCGCACTCCTCGGGAACAAGAGAAAAAACCATGCGGGGAACCATTAATTAGGATGGACAAATTAGCAGATCTTAAAATGGTAGAAACCCAGTCTATAAAACAAGTGGAGAACCCAAAGTTAGTAAGCACCCGCAAAAGAAATGACCAATCTAAAGTATCAAAAGCCTTAGCTATATCAACTTTGACTCCCATATTGCCACCACGAGTTTTTTTGTCAAGCACATTGAAACATTCTGAAACAAGGCCAATACAATCTGTGATACGACGGCCAGGTATAAAAGCAGCTTGATGCGGAGAAATAATGCGTTGAACAACATGAGAAAGACGAACTGCCAAAATTTTGGGAATAATCTTAAAGAGAAAGTTTGCCAAAGCAATAGGTCTAAAATGAGTCATGGAAATAGCGTCTTCCACCTTCGGAATCAAAACTAAGAAATTACTATTGGCATTGGGGTATAACCAATTTGATTGAAAGAATTGCTTCACAAATTGAATAACGTCAAAGCTGACAATATCCCAACAATGGTGATAGAAAAAACCTGGAAAACCATCTGGCCCTGGCGCACTGTAAGCACTTAAGAGAAAACTGCCTCCTTAATTTCCTCATCAGAAGGTAAGGCAGATAAGAGATCATTTTCAGAGTCTGTGACCATCGGCTGGATGACTTCACAAACCTCATCAATACCTGAAGGGGTGAAAGAAGAGCCGAACAAAGTCTGATAGAAATTAACAATATGGTTGTCAATTGCCAGCGGGTCAGTAAGAAGATTGTTTCCATCAAGAATACAACTGATATGAGAGCTGGATGATTTAATACGAGCATAGGCATGAAAGAAAGAAGAATTTCTATCCCCTTTAGTTAACCACTTAACACGAGCTCTATCTTTCCAAAATGCCTCCTGCATTTGGAGAGACTCCATTACTGTAGTCTTGGCGACAATCTCCTCCTCGAAAAGATCATTATTTATACCCTCAGTTGAAATTCTTTGTTGAATCATAGAAAGATTATGCCGAGCATTAGCCACTCTATTATGGACGTCACCAAAGACCGAAAAATTCCATTGGCGCAAGCAGGTTTTTAGAGCTTTCAATTTTTGCAGAATGATAAACATAGGACAACCATAGACAACTGTATTTCTCCAGCAATGAGTTACAGTTTCTCGAAAAGATGGATGTTGAACCCACATTGATTGAAAACGGAAAGGACGATGACCATTGCTCAAAACTCTAGAACCAGAGAAGATAAGGGGGTTGTGATCAGAGACTACTTTTGGCAATGCTATGCAGTTAGAGTGGGGCCAAGAATCAAACCAGCTAATATCACACAAGGAGCGATCTAACCTTCTTTCAGTGCGACCACGTGACCTCCAGCCATTGGACCATGTAAAGGCTGCCCCAGATGTGTTCAAGTGGGTAAAGTTACAAGTGTCAGACATATTACTAAACTGAGCGCATGAAGCTTGGGACGGTCTGCCTCCTCCCATCTGCTCGTGAGCGCCCAGGATAGCATTGAAATCACCAATAGCCATCAATGGAACTTGTGTTTGTGGGCGCAGAGAGATAAAATCAGCCCACAAGTCTCTTCTTTTGATAGGTGAAGTGCTTGCATAAACAAATGTGAACTGGCTTGGGATATGGTCAAAAGTACAGCGAACCGTAACCTGTTGATCCGAGATAGAGATAACTAAAGGGTCTGCACAAGCTGAAGATGTTAGTAACCAAAGGTTGGGAGCAAGAGTTCCTCTAGAATTAAAAGTAAGAGCAGATAGATTTAAAGAATCCCAATAAGCAGCTGAAATAGAATTAAAAGTCACCATAGGCTCTGCAATGCAAACCAAATCCGGGTGATGCAACCGACAGATGTTAGAGAGCTCCGTCCGAGAGTCATCGTTACCAATGCCACGGATATTCCAGAAGAGAACCTTCATTTATAACGAGCTGGTATTCCTCGGACCCTACTTGGATATGGTTTATCAGAGGGTTGATTAAGATTGGCAAGCTGCTTTTGTTTTTTCCGTTAACTATTAGATAACACAGGAGTAAAACCATCCATATCACAGCCTTCTATGTGATTGACAATATCGATGACATCCTTAGCTAATGTCGCAACATGTTCAAAACCAGGGGGAATGCTATGGTTATCATGAGGATCCTGCATGCCAAAATTATTTGGGACATCTGAGTTGCCCAGCTGCTGACTATTCTGAGCTACCGTCTCGACCTGCTTAAAGCCAGGAGGAGTGCTAGAGTCGTCACAGAGATCATGTGGGCCAAGATTGTTTGGGACAATGGTGTTGCCCAAATGCTGACCATAAGAAAGACCATTCTGAGGATGTGATCCCTCTGGAGACAGCGATCCGGTCATAGAATTGCTAATATGCGAAATCCCAGGGGATTGAATACTAATATGTGTATCAGCGGTGTCAGTCTCTGGTGTGACATTACCAGAAACAGTTGGCGTTATTCCAAGAGGAGACTGAAGAATGGGCTCAGCATTACCATCATCCGCTGCCTCAATACCTGCATGCACCAATTGATCAACCTGTTGAAGAGGTTCAGGTTCAGAAGCATGTGACCCACAAAAGACATTAACCGGTATTGTTGTATCTTTTATGGGACGATATTCCATGTGCAGTTGACTGCGAGAGTGATCTCCGGTTTTGTTGTCCCCCATGTTACCACCCTTTCGCGTCCGGCTACGAGAACGACCTCTCGACATCTGTTTAAGTTGTCTGCAACTATTAGCCAAGTGCCCTATCAAACCACAGTGACTACATTTGGGCGGTAAATTTTCATAAACCACCTCAACCGGGAAGCCATGACTTTCTCTTTCAACCATAAGAGATGTAGGTAAATCATCTGCAAGATTGACATCAACTAATATGCGTGCATAATAACCATATTGCCTTTCCCTTGTAGCTGAATCTAGTTGCAAGGGAGTGCCGACCCCTCTCGCAATTTCCATCAAGTGTCTAGGATGCCAATATTCCTGACTCAAACCAAAAATTTTGATCCATACCTGAGCATGAGTTTGAGGGAGAACATCACCTGGTTTTAAAATCTGGCGTCCATTTTTGATAACCTGAATAAACCAGTAGCAAGAGTACACGTACCGCCACCCCATGCCCGTCGCATATCATCTTCCTTATTGAAATGGATATCAAAATAACCTTTACCTATAGGAACCAGGTTCCATGGTGCAGTAGGGCGCCATGCATCTTCTAAGCAAGATTTTAGAGCACCGGTCTTCATTGGCGTAGAACCCTTTTTTAGGAGCAAACGCCCAAGGAGGTTATTTTGAAACAACTTCAACTGTTCTTGGTATAGATCCTCGCTAATTTTGACATATGTTTTGTCCCCACGCACAACCGGAGTTGGAAGTTGGCTGAGATGGACGTCTTCAATTGGGGTGGAAACCACAGAAGCAAAAGTCCTTGCCTTCAGAATTGGTTGAGCGGGGGGCATATTAGTTGTCGGCATAACCGTCTCTGCAAGAAAACCCCATGGACAGACGAAATTTGTGCCCATGATAATTCAGTTTAGAGTTGTCAACACCATAAAGCAAGGTTGAACGCAGAATAACCTTGGGCACCCTGAAAAAAAAAAAAAAAAAAAAAAAAAAAACGCAGATTCTCTGGAGCAATTCGTCGAGCAGGTACGAGGCACCACAGCCAAGCAACCAGAGGCAGATCAAGCTTCCGGCAGGAGGAGGTGCTAGTACCGAAGAGAGCTTGCAGATTGACTGGGGCAATTCGTCGAACAGGTACAAGGCATCCTTTAGCAGAAGAACAATCTTGGAAGTTTGGAACAAGGGATGGTTGCTGTCGATGGTTCAAGTGTTGGTGATCGTCGGTTGCGGGTGCAGGTTCAGAATTGCAACGATGATGATGCGGATTCAGGGATTCCTTTTGTTGACGGAATTCCAGGAAATGACAAGCTTGCTGCTGCCGCTGCCGCTGCTTGTGATAAGCTGGTACCCTTCGATGCGAGCAATCCCCTACCAAGGATTGAGACCATATCATCCCTTGTAAAACAGATACAAATTCCTGATAAAAATGGGGAAGTTAACAATTAGGCCATCCGCATCATGCACGGTGCTGCTGCTGTTGGTTTGTGTCATTATGATGGGCCGTGCCAGCGCCCAAAGTGCGAGTAACGTTAGATCGACGTACCATATCTACAATCCAGAGAAGATAGGATGGAGCTTGAACGCAGCTGGTGCTTATTGCGCCACTTGGGATGCTAATAAGCCTTTGGAATGGCGTCGGAAGTTTGGATGGACTGCTTTTTGCGGCCCCGTCGGGCCTCGGGGCCAAGCATCTTGTGGCAAGTGCTTAAGGGTACGTCCATACATAATTTTTTTGTGATATAATTGATGATAATTTACGTGGGATATGAGATAAGTATCGTTTTCCGAATCGAACGCGTGATCTTCCACCTCTGAGTGAATAAGAATATTACAAGATTGTAGTGATAATGACACGTTATAATGTAATTAACTAAGTTTGTTCTTCTTTTTTTTTTTTTCTTCCAACAAAGACATGTGCACAATTAGATTTTACTGGCACTACAAGAAAACAAAGTTTATGTGACTACAAACATTTGTCACGTAATGTGAAAATTCGTCACATTTAATTATATGTTACGAATTTTAGCGTCACTGTTCGTGTCATTTATGCCATACAGCACGTCTGGAAAAGTGGGCATCACAAACAATATTACCACCTAATCCATGTTTTTTCAAAGTGTGGAAATGATTAATTTCATTTGATTGTTTACACTGCAGGTGACAAACGTGAGGACAGGAGGTCAGGCAAAGGTGAGAATTGTTGATCAGTGCAGTAATGGAGGCCTAGATTTGGACGAGGGTGTGTTTAAACAACTCGACACTGATGGGAAAGGCTACGCCCAAGGCCACCTTATGGTGAACTACCAGTTTGTCAATTGTGGCGATTAAACCATACACTTGCTACTCTCATGCATCTTATGGTTATAGTCATAAGGGATTAATAAATAATGGAAACTGCTCCCTTTAATAACTTGTGTTAGTGGTTATGGATGGCAGAGCACTCATGGTAAAACTAATTAAGTGTAGGGTGGGCACGGTTCGGTTCGGTGTGGTTTTGAGTGAAACCGCAATCAAAACTGAAACTTTTTGCGGTGCGGTTTCGAAACCAAAACCGAAATGCAACCAAACCATTTGGTTTGGTTCGATGCGGTTTCAAACTGTTTCGGTTCGGTTTTTAAGAAAAATGTACAATTTAAAATTTATATTTATCTACGTATAAGATGGTCTCATTTTCCACATGAGACATTAATTAACCAACCCACATGAGAATTCTATGAGATGTAATCAACTAGTTTAGCCTAGCTAGCTAATTGCACAAATGATAGACTTTGTGAGCAGGAAAAACCACCCTAATGGAGTGATATGGCTTATTATTTGATCAAAGATTCATTTGCATTTTATCACAGCAAGAATTCTCAGATGAGTTTTGAGAGAGAGAGAGAGACTGATGTGGATTGAGGGATAATTTGATAGTATGTCAAATAGGATGGAAAGGGATGACATTTTAGTGTGGTTTTGAGACCATACTAAATGTATGGATTTTAACAAACAACCTAAACATGACATGGTGCCATTTCGATTTCGGTGCTGCTAGAGATAGTTTTTTTACTTTTACAATGGTCACAATACTTCAAGAAAATGAACAATAATTTTTTAATATTTTAGTCCCTACATTAAGGGATTATAGTATAAGGATTTTCCATTGCAGATAATATTCTTTTAGGAACTCGACTATTCTTTTGATGCCCATTGATTTTTCAAGAGTGAAAAAAAAATTACATGAGAAAATTAAAAGGAAAACTAATGAAAATGATTTGAAAACTTTGAGTTTTAACAATAAGGACAAAATAAATGATAAAATAAATAGTACCAGGATTGACTTTTTAGTGTAAAAATATGGTTTTTCATTAAAGTGAATAATACCAAAAATTTTTCGTTAAAGTTTCCAAAATTAAATAAGAAGCTGACCCACATGGGTGGGTTCAAAAAACAAGGAAAAAAAAAAGCAACATCATTCCCACTTAAAATTAATACGGGGTCACCCTTTAAGTGCCTATATCAGATTTATAATTGAGAATTTTTTTGAGGTATCCAGCGAGTTTCTATATATTAAGATACTTTAAGAACTCCTATTCCAATTCATTGGAAGCCTTTTGCCCCTATATATATGAACTATACGGTTTTACGGACTCTATTTAATGCCTCTATTGAAAAGGCTCTTGGGTCAAGCCAAACTATTGTCATGGCCTGGAGAGAGGTGCATGGCTGCAGAGGAAATATTTATCATTCCAAATGGAATATGCGTTTTCATGTCTGTTTCTAGACTAAGCTATTTGCTTAATTGAAGTGGCTCTTTAATTCCTTCATAAATTAATTAATTTTGTGCGACCTCTTTTTTGTGAGGACATTTTTACACATTCTCGCTCTCTTGCGTGTGGGAGTTTTCAAGTATATTACCTAGATAACACAATTTGAACAGCATGTGAGAATTTTTTTACTTTCTTCTCAATTGGCTTATGGAGATGCTGGGAGTTTTCAAGTATATTACCTAGATAACACAATTTGAACAGCATGTGAGAATTTTTTTACTTTCTTCTCAATTGGCTTATGGAGATGCTGTTCTATTCAAATTATAACATATATATTATTATTTTTAATTAAAATACTCTAAAAGTGGAACATAATCAATCTTATCATCCACCGCTATAATAATACGTAGAATGATACACTACATAACTTGGTTTTTCGGTATACATAAAAATTTCTCCTACAATTCCAAGTGCTTGAGAGCTCTTAAATAGCAAGAAAGCATCCCAAACAAGTTGAATGTTTAATAGTTGAGCAGCCGCCTGATATTATTCAGAATGCTTTAATAGATGTCAATTGTTGTTGGGGTAATGTCAAAGTTCAAAACGTTAGATTTCATTTGTCATTTAAATAGATAAATGATCACCTACAAATATTATAATGTACATTTATGAATAATTCAAATGATCAAATAATTTTAATCGATCAAGTGGGATTAATCAAACCATCATTTTAATAATCTGTTTTTCTCTAGTTTTCTGGTAGTACACAACTCAATCAGTTCCTCTTAGTCTCTCTCTCTCTCTCTCTCTCTCTCTCTCTCGTGTGTATATTCTATTGTACATTTCACAATGCGCGGATTTGCTGTATGCCGTCTTTGTCACGTCCTATAGTAAGGTCTAAAGCCTCTATATATTGTATCCAAAGCAGATGCAAAAACTCATCCTTGTAACATCCCACATTGTCCAGATAAGTGAATCATGTAAGTCTTATATGTATATTCTCATCTCTACCTAGCACGAGATCTTTTGGTAGCTCACATGTGGGATGTTACAATCCACTTCCCTTAGGGTTCCGACGTCCTCGTCGGCACACATCCGTGCAGGGATTGGTTCTGATACCAAAATTGTCACATCTTGGCCCGGGCCCCCACCACATTCCGGGCTCGACTCCACTGTAGCACGATATTGTCCACTTTAGGCCCCGACCACGCCCTCACGATTTTGTTTTTGAGAACTCACACGAGAATGTGAGTTTTCAGAAACAAAACCGTGAGGGCGTGGTCGAGGCCCAAAGTAGATAATATCGTGCTACGATGAAGTCGAACTCGGGATGTCATGGAAGCCCGGGCCGGGATGTGACATCCTTCAGTTGAGTCCTGAGTCGTGAAGGTGGTAGTGGTAGCCAATTAACTCACGCAGGCCAAACAATTCCAACTTCCAAAAGGCTAGATTAGTAACTACAACACTAGGCCTCTAACTTCAACCTAATTAAAGATCACACAAAAATCACAAAATGGCAGGGAAGATTGCACCATGCTTTATGTTGTTACTTTCGGTCATTATCTGTGTATTTGTGAGAAGTGCATGGGGACAAAGTGCTAGTGTGAGATCCACATACCACCTCTACAATCCTGACCAAATCAATTACGATTTGTGGGCTGTAAGTGCCTTCTGCTCAACAATCAACATGGGATGCTGATCAATCCTATGAATGGCGCAGCAAATACGGATGGACTGCATTTTGCAGACTTGCTGACCCTAACGGAGAAGATGCTTGCGGAAAGTGCCTCTTGGTACGTATTAGTTTGTTAGCGCTAGAACGCTCCTACATTAAAATACTAGCTGATTAGCACTAGAACGCCAATTTTTTTATTTTGTGAATTTATAAATGTGCAGGTGACAAACACTGGGACAGGAGCACAAACAGTGGTGAGAATTATTGATCAATGCAGCAACGGAGGGCTAGACTTGGATGTGAGTATGTTTAATAGATCCGCCCCACCAGAGCAGGAATTCTCATTTCCAACAAGAGTGGAGGGGCTGAATCAGCGCTCATAGGCGTGTTTTCCGGTGAGGGGAAGGGCGGCCGCCACTCCTCGCCCTCACGTAGCTTCGCCAACTGAATTTGATTGTGTTTAACCAAATTGACACTGACGGCAGTGGCTACGCATTCGGCCAACTTATCGTCAACTACGACTTTGTCGACTGTGATGATTAAATTTAGCCTGCTATAAACCCCTGATTATTCAGTAACTTAGCAGTGAACTTATTAATTATTATACTAATAAATAAACTTCATCATGAGATAAATGTTAGCATATATTAGTGGTTAGGATTGTGACAGGTGTCAATAGATTGTATAAGTTGAGTTAGTTATGCTGACATGTATTTATAAACTCTTGTAGTAATTCATTCATAGTAATAAGAAAAGTTTGTTGCAGATTTTCTTTCTCTTTCTTCGAGCTCTCTCTTTAGATTTCTACATTCACTAGTAAAAAAAACACTTTGCGCGACGCATGCCCTTCGTCGTGCAAAGTCAAAAAAACGTTGCGCAAAAATTAGCGCAACGAAGCATCGTCGCGCATCAAGGCAGTGACGCTAGGGTTTGCACGATGAAGAATTAAACTGCGTTACGCAAAACTACTTTGCACGACGTAGGTCCTTGTGTCGCGCAAAGTAGGTTTGCGCAACGAAGAAGTAACATGCGTCGTGCAAAGTAGTTTTGCACGACGCAGGGACCTACGTCGCGCAAACCAACTTTGCACAATGCAGGTTACTTCTTCGTCGCGCAAACCCTTGTTTTTTATTTTTATTTTTTGGCGAAAATAAATTTTTTTATTTTTAATAAATATTGTAATTAAACTCTAAACAATAATTAATAAACCAAGAAAAAGTATTTAATTATAAAATATATAAAAATATACATACAAGATGTTCGAACAAAAAAACTACAAGAAGTAGTCTTCTAGGTTTAATACATCAAGCTATTGGGTATCGGCTGGGAGGTCAAAGGTGTGACTTGAAAAATACAAAAACTAAATTACAAAGGTTTCCAATTGCAGTTTCTTTATCGGCAGATCGACTGTAAGTTTTCTAAAATCTTTAACCAAGCAAAAGTTTCGATAATATCTCTCTCATGGTGGATGTGTCACCTTTATTTTCCATCTCCACACCAAATTCCAGGACTGCAGCATCTAGCACTACTTCCTTTCCGCAATCTCGTAGACATTTTCATCAATTGTACCCTTAGTGACTAGCCTGTAAAGCAGATGATCCAACAATTTTCTATTCAAGTTTATGACTCAAACCAATACCACATTATAAAAGCAGGGAAGAAGGGGTGAGGGTTAAACCTGAAAGGTGCTTCTCTCAGATTGGTAAGTATAGGTGAGGAGGGAGATGGGAAATTAAAGAGAGGCAAACCTGTATATGGTAACAACCTTCACTTGGCCGATGCAATGACAATGATCTTCTGCCTGTCGATCAATTTGCGGGTTGAAATCCATATCATGAATAACTACGGTATCAGCTCCAACCAAGTTCAAACCCTGTTCTCCAGCTCTTGTGGACAGCAAGCAAGCAAATATAGAAGTGTCATTATTGAATGTATCAATTATCGTCTGTCATTCTGTCACTTGAGTGCTGACATTCAGAAGATATGGGTTAACAAACAAGAAACGTAACTTACAACAGATGAGGTAACAATTCAATTAACCACAATCAACAAGTGGAACTGAGCAAGCCAGATTATAAAACAGATATACCATGTGGCATGGCACATTTTCTTATGATAAGAACACTGTACGCCTCAGATGATCAAATCGTTCCAAAACATTGATAGTAATGTATCAAAATTGGAAAGACAAATTCATTTTCAAGAAGTTGAGAAAATACCCGATGGATAGAGAAGTCACTATAATTCTTAAGTTCCCCAACTACTTTGTCTAAGGTAACTTTCTGGCAAAACGAACAACATCCTCATCACTGTAAATACGCCTTACTAGTAAAGGATGATTTGCAATCTAGAGAATGAGAAAAGAAAAAAAGAACAATAAGCAAACATATATACAATCTGAACACAAAACTTGGATATCAAAAACATAAAAGTCGAGACAAACGTACCATACGAAACTGAACAAAATAGTTGGAGATCTGCCAGGAAGAACCTTAAGAATACTGTTCGAGTTAACCTCTGAAGTTTTTGCAATACAAGCTCATAAACTCCAGCATAGACTAAAGCTCCTACAATAGAAACACACAAGTCAATGAGTCATTTAACAACAAAACTAAAATCTATAAAAATTAATAAAAGTTGTTTCTAGTCAAGGAACTTAATCTAAAAATTGTGGCGGTCCATTTAAACTGGAGTTGTTTTTTTGAAATGCTAGTTCGGTTATTCTCTTCACAGCTGCTAGGGGAAACCATTGTTTCAATAAAATTGAGACCTTATCCATATCATTATCAATACCAACCATAATATCCTCAATCAAGAAATCGTCAGCCCAAGGGTAAAATACATGATCTTCTTCATGGAAGATATATTATCTTCCACGGTAGTGTATTGTTTCCCACTGGAATCGCCATCTAATAAAGGCCTTTTCCCAACCCTATTCTCTGCCAAAGTTGGACAATCTACAGATGGGAGGTGTAGAGTTGAAAAAGGCCTGCCCAGAAGGTCATTATTCCTCGGTACGTTTGCACGAGGATGTAGAGAAGTTAGATTGGTCGGTATAGGTGGGAAACGATCCTTGTCAACTTAAGGCTCAAGGCCTTGTTTCTGGCGCTGCTTGAGGTCAAAGGCAGCCCAACCACCTGACTTAGCTCGATCCCTTGACATCCACCTAATGAACATATATAGAATATAAAACTGACGAAAAACAAAAATAAAGAATATTAGCAACAGTCATCACAAACCAAGTAACAGCATGATGTACAGGTTACTTTGCTAGTAAGACAAGTTTGTAACTTGCACCGAACATACAAAGAAACTGGAGATATCAGATCCAAAAACTAGCATGAAAGTGATTATAGAGCTCGAAATTTAACAACCTCAAATTCATGTTCATCTCACTATACAATCAAAAAACCGCAAATGGTTGTCTAGAATTCCAAAAGTCCTATATAGAAAATAAGAATTTCAAGCGCAAAAGAAAACTAAAAAATAAATTAACAGAGACATAAAACCCATGAATTGGAACATCAAAAAAGTACCTTCCTTTATATATAAATATGAAATCCGAGAACTAGGTGTTATCTAGGAAGAACACACCAAGGCGTTAATCGATCCGACGACTGATACTTCGAAAGGATTGCAGGAGATACGACGACTTTATTGGCTGATTCCCGCGGTCCAATTTTGTATCTCATATCCATAAACCTAACTGAGATTTGCAGAAATACAATCCCACAAGGATAGAGAGAGATTCTTCAAGCTGAAAATGCCTTTTTAGTCTTCTTCTCTCAAAGCTATCGAAGAGAGAGAGAGAGAGCAAAGGGGGTGAAAGCGGCGGAAGAACTACGAAAGGCACAAAGAAAGTTTCTTTTTAGATTTTAGTTTCCCCCGACAGTTCCACTACAAAATCAATAGTAATCCAAGGAACTTAATCAAGAAACATATGAAATTATTAATTGATTTCAATTCTTAGTTGGTTCTAGTTTTACCTTGGTCAGATTGCAATGTGCAAATACCATTTATTTTCCATTAAACCTCGTCCGCGTCGTCGTGGGAGAACTGTTGGGGCTTGGAGGCTGTTCGGAAGGCGATGAGGAAGGCTACGGGAGAGGGTGAGGAGGAAGGATGAGGAGGAGGCTGACTGGGTGCAGTCGGGAGGAAGGCTACGCGAGACGGAGTGAAAGAGAGGGCGAGATCAGAGTAATTTTGTCCAGAGTAATTTGGGAAGATTCAAATAAGCGCCTATTTTTAACAATTGGAACCGCCACAATTTTAAGAACTTGCACGACGCAGGTATACATTCTGACGTCGCGCAAAGTGCTTTTGCGCAACGACTTCATTGTGACGTCGCGCGATTTATATTTTTTTTTAAATAATTATTATAAAATATACTAAAAATGTGAAATTACTTCCTTTAAATTCAATTTTTTTTACATAAATAAAATCCACAATAATATATTTTTCTAACAAAAACCTTATCCGAACTACAATAATAAATTTATAGTTACTTAATAAATAAATTCAATTTCTTAAGTATTATACGTACAAGATAAATAAATGTAAAGCTACTTAATAAATATATATATATACCATTGAACTTGATGGGATACGCATTCTACGAAATTAGTTTCAACGATCCAACCGTCAAACATGTTTGTATATACTTCGAGATCGCATATGCCAAAAATCGCAACAAACAAACATTCAGAGATTAAGTAATAGGACGAAACTTTTCGACGGTTATAAACGAAAAATCACGATTTAACGGTAGTTTTAACTCTGATTTTGATGATTTTTTAAAGCGACACTCCTTGATCCTATATGAATACAATGAACTAATTAGATCATCAATTAAAACATTTACACAAGTGGATACCACAAAATCTTATGTTATCCTTAATGAAAGTATAAATAAACTCTAAGTATTAGTGAATCTATTGTTTTGATGGGATACGCATTGTACGAAACTAGTTTAGACGATCCAACTGTCAAACTTTTTTGTACACAATTCGAGATCGCATACGCCAAAAATCACAACAAACAAACATTCAGAGATCAAGTAACGGGACAAAACTTTTTGACGGTTATAAACGAAAAATCACGATTTAAAGGTAGTTTTAACTTTGATTTTGATGATTTTTTAGAGCGACACTCCTTGACCCTATATGAATACAATGAACTAATTCGATCTTCAAATTAAAATGTTTACACAAGTGGATACAAAAAAATCTTATGTTATACTTGATGAAAGTATAAATAAATTCTAAGTGTTAGTGAATGTATCGTTTTGATGGGAAACACATTGTACGAAACTAGTTTCAACGATCCAATCAGCAAACTTGTTTGTATATGCTTCGAGATCGCGTACGCCAAAAATCACAAAGAATAAACGTTCAGAGATCAAGTAACGGGACAAAACCTTTCGACGATTATAAACGAAAAGCCCGATTTAACGGTAGTTTTAGCTCCGATTTTGATGATTTTTTAGAACTACACTCCTAACCCCTATATGAATACAATGAACTAATTCGATCGTCAATTAAAAAAATTTAAACAAGTGGATACAACAAAAGAAAAAGGTAATGCAAGAACCCCAAAAGAAAAGCAAAAGGGCAAAAAAAAAAAAACTTTGCGCGACGTAGGTACCTTTGCGTCGCGCAAAGTTTTTTTTTTTTTTTTTTTTTAAATATCCTTCAATAGAATCATTATTGATTTGGATTAGCATTAAAGGGTGTATCTAAAATTTTGTCAATGCATACCAAAGTACAATTACGGCTAGCTCTACTTCAAAATCCAAAAACATACGGCAAAGATGTAATTACAAACACGTAAAAATGCAAATTTGCAAATAATTAATATTTTGTTATTTTTAAAATGTATGTGAAAAAAGGGTTGAATTCTTTCTCGGTTGAGCAAAAAGCTTATGGTTGTTATTGAGTGTTGATTCCTCAAGAAAAGACCTTATAAGTAAGTTGATGTTGGAACATTGCTCTCGTCTTTCCCAACTGCATGTCATATCATTTTCGGTGTTACCTTACGGTCCTTACTCATCTAAAAAATTTTAATTTTCTTTAATTGTTTAAATTATTTTTTTCTTATTCATAAAATTTGTTCTTTCTTCACCGCAAGTACTCAAGGACATGTCGTCCCAGAAGTAGCCAAAGACAAAGGAATTAACATGAAGAAAACAAAAGGTCGTCAATTGATGCATATTAATAATTAAAATTAATCCAATTTAAGAATTCAATTTTATGACATGAGATTTCCTTAGTAATGCAAAAAAAAAAAAAAAAAAAAAAAAAAAAAACCTTTGCGCGACACAGGTGTACCTACGTTGCGCAAAATTAGGAAAAAAGCGGTAAAACACCTTGGGTTGGCGCCAAAACTTTGCGCGACGAAGACTGGCGTCGCGCAAAGCTGTTTTGCGCGACGTAGGTTCACCATCGTCGCCAAAATGTCTTTGTGCGACGTCAGTCTTCGTCACGCAAAGTTTTGTTGCGCAAAACAGCTTTGCGCGACGTTTTATTTTTAGCGTCGCGCAAACATACTTTGCGCGACGAAATTTGCTACGTCGCGCAAACATGTTTTTGTACTAGTGATTGTGGCATTGTCGAATGGGTCACCCTACTAATCATATAGTTAAGACAACACTTAGTAAGTCTTCAATTCCTTATCATTGTAACTCACAGCCTCAGTCTTGTATTCCTTGTTTGGAAGGCAAATTCACCAAACTTCCATTCCTTTTACATGCTTCAAAATCTGTAATTCCATTCGAAATAATACATACCAAAGTATGGGGGCCAGCACCTTGTATGTCAATTGAGGGGTATATATACTATGTCTCTTTCATAGACGAATGTACTAGGTATACATGGATTTTTCCAATAATCAATAAAGCTGCCGTGTTTGATCACTTTGTTCAATTTCATTCCTTTGTACTGAATTCTTTTGCTGCTCACATTAAGATTCTACAGAGTGATGGGGTGGGGAATACATTGGTGCCATTTTTCAATCGTTTCTTGGGGAGAAAGGTATAACACATCAAAAATCTTGCCCGTATACCCCTGAGCATAATGGGTTAGCAGAGAAGAAAAACAGGCATATTGTAGAAACTACAATTACTCTATTGCAGCAAGCTTTCTTACCTTCTAAGTTTTGGTATCATGCATGTGCTACTACCACTTATCTCATAAATAGGATGCCAACCTCTACATTACTAATGAGATCTCATTTTGAAACTTTGTATCAATCAGCTCTAAGACTTGATCACTTACGCATTTTTTGTTGTGCTTGCTTTCCCTCTTTGAAACCCTATAGAACAACCAAACTTGCTCCCAAAGACCACTGTTTGCATTTTTTTGGGTTATGCATCTCAGTACAAAGGTTATATTTGTTACTCTGTCAAAGATAACAAATTAATTGTGTCACAGCATGTATTATTTGATGAAAGTCAATTCCCTGGTTCAACAAAGCTACAACATATAAAGTCTAACTCATCTTTGTCCTCAGCTATACCAACCTTTGTGTCTCATACAAATTCATTTGAGCATCCTTCCATTACCAAGTGTCTTTGTGCTTGCATTCACACCCACTACCAGTCATGTTACTTAGTCCACTACTCTCAATCAAGGTGATCTTGTCTCCACAACTCCTACCATCTTTAGTTCAATCTCAGATTCTTCCATGAGTTCAGATTCCTCAATGAATTTAGTCTTAGATTCTTCCAGGGGTACAGACTTACATCAAAATACTACTACTTCTCAAGCCACTGAGTTACAACTTGTACCCCTGCATTCTCAAAATTTACACCCAATGCAGACCCGATCTAAATTAGGGATTTCTAAAAAGAAGCAGGTCTTTCATACGACAGTTCATTCTAATTCCATTAAAGAACCACAATATTATACTACAACTTCTAAATCTCCACAGTGGAAATCAGCTATGTAGGAAGAAATGGATGCATTAGTGCAGCAACGCACGTGGCAACTTGTTCCATTACCTGCAAGTAAAAATCTGGTGGGTTGTAAATGGATATACAAGGTTAAAAAACATCCAGATGGGTCAGTTGCCAGATATAAGACCAGATTAGTGGCCAAAGGATTCTCTCAAGAGGCTGGATTGGATTATTATGAAACATTCAGTCCAGTGGTGAAACCAACCACTGTGAGACTTATATTGTCTTTAGCAGCAACTCATGGATGGAAACTTAAGCAACTTGATCTCAAGAATGCGTTTTTACATGGGTTTCTTGCGGAGAAGGTTTATATGTCCCAGCCACAAGGTTTTGTTGACAAGATCCACCCAGAGTATGTTTGTAAATTAGAAAGGTCCCTTTATGGTCTCAAACAAGCTCCAAGAGCTTGGAATGAAAGGTTCACTACTTTCTTATTTTCACTGGGATTTAAATCTTCCTATGCCGATCCTTCATTGTTTGTTAAGCATGGCAACAACATAGTTGTGTTACTTTTATATGTGGATGATATCATACTTACTAGAGATAGGGATACTTGTGTTCAATCAGTTATATCTCAGTTAACCACAGAGTTTGACATGAAGGATTTTGGGATTTTACACTATTTTCTTGGCTTGCAAATTGACTATTTGTCTCAGGGATTGTTTGTACACCAGTCAAAGTATGTTCAGGATTTGTTACAAAAGACAGATACGCTACAATGTAAACCTTGTATCACACCAGGTCATCCTAATCAGAAACTCTTGAACCATGGTAGTCCTAGTTACTCAAATCCTACCCACTACAGAAGCATTGTAGAAGCCCTATAATACTTAACTTTTACAAGACCTGACATTGCCTATTATGTGAATCAAATGTGCCAATTTATGCATTCTCCTATGGAATCTCATTATGTTGTTGTCAAGAGAATTTTATGATATCTCAGAGGTACTTTAGGCTGGGGCATTTGTTTTAGACCTGGTTCATTGGTTTTAAAAGCATACACCAATGCTGATTGGGCTGGTGATCCCGATGATAGGCGTTCTACTACAGGTTTTGTTGTATTCCTAAGCTCTAATCCAGTTTCATGGAGTTCTAAGAAACAACACATAGTTAGCAGATCCTCGATAGAAGCTGAATACATGGCTATGGCAACCACAACTGCCGAAATTGTTTGGCTGTAACAACTTCTGAAAAACCTTCATATTGACACTTCTTCTCCTCCATTCTTACATTATGACAACATTTCCACCATGGCTTTAGCTACTAATCCTA